TTGCCCGGCTGAGTGACATCACTACACATACTTACGCCTGTCAGGGGAGGCGAGACCTTATGGAGTTTGTCAAACAGCAGTTTCTGCTCTGCCTCATTGTTCACCAAGAGCAGATGCCAAGTAACTTTTTTTATATAAAGATGCCAGCCAAAGTGAAATAAAGCGAGCGTGCACCATGCTTTCCACTGCATCCTGTAACTCACTCTTAAATGCACAGATTTTACTTTAATGCCTCTGCTAGAGTTAGCGTCCTTTCCTCCCACACGGTACTTGTGATATGCAGGTTCAATACTTTGGAACTGGGTGACCTCATATCTGCTGAGTGAAGACGTGAAGGAAGTGAATATAAAATTAGCATTCAGCAGCGCACAGAAAGGACACAGTGTACTAGAAATATCAGATAAAAACTGAGGTGCCCGAAACAAGGATGCTGTGATGGATCCAGACTTATCATAACGTACTGAATGAGTACAACATCTTCAGTTTTACTTGTCTGAAGAATGTACCATGGAGTATTTGGAGAATTCTGACACCATCGTATCAAGACTGCTCTTTTCTATATAATGCGTAGATTAAATGAGAATTAACTATGATGAAAAAAAAAGTTCCTTTCATATCCCATAAGCATTTGAATTTTATTTCTTACTTATTTTACTAAGTCAAGAAAAGGCTTCACTTGAATGTGATGATTCCTCAGGGCTGTAAGGTCCTCCCCAGAGTAAGAGACCACCGTTATTAGTAAATAAACGAACAATCAAAATCTATCCACACACGCCAATCAGACTGCTAGGAAAAGTAAAGTTCTGATTGCTTTTTGTTTGTGAAGTCATGCTGTGAGAACCCAGACTAAGGTGTTTAGCAGCACTGATGAGCTAAAGAGCATATCAGGGACCCCTACAGTATCTCTCTATAAGCTCTGTCAGTCGCTAAACGGTGGAATAGCGTTGAGGACTTCTCAGTGAAGAGGCTTTTTCAAAAAGGAGAGTCCAGGGCAAAAGGAAAACATGACACAAGGCCTTTGAACAAAAAGAAATTCTATCCATGGTGAATTAATAAACACCTTTTCCCTCTCCACTGTACTCTGAACTTCACATCAGCGGGGATGCAGAGCTACAAAGCGAACTTCCACATCTGGTAAACAGGTTGAACGTGTTTTATTTTCTTTGTTTCCAGCATTAGGAAACTCTCGGTTCGCTTCTTTCTTCATACCAAATGCCGTTCGGCAAACAGCACCGGCCACCCACGGGCATGTCTAAGCAAATGTGCTATCCATGGCCTTTTTTTATTCCTTCATTTTGCCCAGTACATTGATTGAAAACTGTTTCTCATCTGCAGTGATGAGCTGGAGAGCCATTCATTCGTCCGGAGAATTCCCGCAGTGCCTTGCTCAAAGTGCCCACAGCAACGCCCTGCATGGGATTCAAACCCACAACCCTCGATTTCAGGGCTTTGGCCACTACTTCCATCTTTTATAGTGTGGCCTTGCAGCTCACGGGCCGTGTTAAAGGAGATCCCACATGAGCCATGGTGAGGATCACTGTTTACAAAGCTCCGCCACCCTCACTCTAAGGTGAAAGGGCGCTATTGAAACAGCAGAATAATCTTATAACCCTCCCGGAAAACAGGATGTCATTTCAATCTAATTACATTACAGCTCCAACAAAATGGGAAAGAGGAGGGGAGGTCTTCTGTTTTGATTACAATGGTGATCTTGGATGTATTTTGTTGTTAAAGTGAGTCATATGCCCCTTCCTTGCATTCTTCTGAACTTAAAAACCTAAAATAAGGACGTCACAGGGTAATTATACACTAAATATCAGGCACGCATTCCATGAGGCTGTGATATAGGTGTTGAAATTTCAGTGAAATATGGTTATCACAGATATAAAGGTCTGAGCGATATTTTGTTCCCTCTTTCACAGTGCTTCACTGGTTAGAATGAATAACCTACAGGCCTCTACAGGAAAGACAGCAGATGTTTCAGAAGTTATGGATTTGCCACTGGTAAGTAAAGAGGTTAACAGAGTGAGTGGGCTTACAGCAATGTCACCGCTGAATTGACAAGATGGTGTTACTACACAGCCTGGATTGCATGAATTCATTAGGAGCGAGCATTAAGCTGCACGTTTGTACTACGTTTGGTTAAGTTCTCAGACAAACGCCAGCAGACATGACCTCCACCAGACACCTGGTGTTTATCAACGGATCACAGCCGTACCAGCTGAGACGGAGGGGAGCTAGGAGGGATTCTCATGTAAGTGCCATTTCAGCCTCTTTCCTCGGTCTTTGAATTCCTAGATCTTTCAAGTGAACTCAACTCCCATTCCCAAGATTGAAATGCTCCTATTAACTGCAAAAACCAGCTCTGCTAAAGCCATTCAAACTCCTGATTCATGAACAGAAACAGTTAGGAACACTACACAAGTGCGAGAAATATTCCTGGAGAATAGCAGAAGCTACTGACATGCTGGAGAGATATTGGATCAAGCCTTGGAAAAAAATGTATTTTGACTTTGCTTTAGCCAAGCATGTAAACCAGATACCATGCCTCGGGCAGATTAGTCCTGATTAATCAGGTTGAACATTTTAGGATGCATTACCAACTCTTGCACAACCATTTCACTTTCGTTCTGGCCCTTATTATTCCAACCCAGGATCAGCCCGAAGGCTGAAAAGCATTGACTAAAGCCCATGTGTTTCAGGTTACCTCCTGTCACACTGCTGAAGAGCTCTGCTGCTATCAGAGGGTCAGCGTGCCACACAGGCTCCCCAAGGGCCTGGAGCACTACAGGAGTGCAAGGCCAAACTGCTGCTGACAAATTTGTGCACATGGTTTCACAGACATGCTGAGAGGGAGGTCCAAGGTGTGTAGCTCTTCCGGGACCTCGGAGCAGCCCTGAAAGCCAGAGGGACTTCTTCCCAAACCTAATACAGCAACCGCTTCCTGGCGATAAAATCGGAAGAGGTGGATATGAGTGTGCATCTCTGAGTGTTTCACTTTTTAAATCATTTCAGCGGCAACACTGAAGAGTGCAAAAACGTCACCGCACGGCTGGCAGTCTGCAGAGGCAGAAAACGACGGGGTTTTACTGTAAATCTCTGTTTTGTTTAATCAGATCTTCTTCATCTGCTTTAATACTCGCTAGTGTTCTGTACCTTCAACTGTACCACAGTTCTTACCGCATGATTTTCATTTCTTTTCCCTACGGCCGTTACAAACTTTAATTACTGTACTGCTACCTGTAAAATCTACATACTTCACCACATCCTCCAGATCTTTATCTAGGTCATCTTGGACCAAAATCATCTGAACAAGTTCATGATTTACAATACAAATGCCTGCTAAGGCGGACTGTTTAGTTCCAGTAACCTAGAGAGACATTAGCAGGAGCTGTTTTATTATTTTCCCATGACCACGCACATGATAACTTAAAACGCAAAGCTCTCTTTTTCACAAGAGGCCTGAAGCTAATCTGGAATATCCATTCTTCCTATAATCACGACGCCGACTCAGAGAAAAAAGAAACTGGGAAAATGTGGAAACCTTCTGACAGTCAGTCTTCTCTAGGGGGGCATCAGGTGTCTTGTTTGCAGATGCACGGCCTGTGTGACTCCCCGATTTGACAGGGAGCCCTGGGGAACGGGCAACGTCAAGCTTCAGGAGAGGAGCTGACAGCCGCGTGCGTCACTCAGGCTGCCCTTTGCTGGACTTCATTCCGCCAACAAAGCTGCACTGTCAGCCTCCAGCCGCCTCTGACATGTGACTGGAGAGAAGCGAGCTGGAAGACTGTAAACAGAACTCCAGCGAGTCTGTTTGCTTGAAGGAGATCTGAAAGAGACCCCGTATCAAATGCAATAACCGAGGGAACTCTCCTCCCTCGAGCAGCCCTTTCGGCCGCTGAAGAACTCCATTGTTCTCGGCGAGCGGCGGACACTGGCAGAAATTGTATTGTAAGAAGGCGTATTATCCTAACTTCCTCGTGCTGTGGATGAAGTCAGGCCCAGTTCCTCTTTACAAATGAGCATGAAGTGGAAAAAAAGACTTGGCAGTCCATTATATTCAAACTGCTAAATTACAGTGATTCAGTATCCTCGACTGCCTTTCAATATTTCACACACAGTCATATTGTGGGTCTTATTATCGCCTGTTTGGATGTGTTCTACAGTATGTACTGTACTGTATATTAACAGGGAGTGCTGGCTCCTGACGTTGCTCTTTTGATTTCTGTCCCAACAACCCGTGCCCTGTGATTTATTTCAGTGCTCATTATCTATCACAGCTCACTTAATACATTTGATATTGTCAAAATTCATTTCAAATAACACAGTGGTGCATTCATTTGAAGTCCCCAGATCTGATTAACAGAGATGTGTGATAAATGCATTTCTATTTAGAGATCTCAGTTTTTTACCTCTAAGCCTGACAATGGAATGATTTGCTTCTAAATTACTCCAGCCACCAAGAGCCTATTTCAAAACAGCAGTGATGTTCAGTGATAGCACTCTACAGGCTGTTAAACACATTAGATACACCATCTAGGAACCTTAAAGCAAATGTTCCATACTGCAAAACTGCATGACAGTAGAACCATCCAGTGGAGATCAGTATATCAGGAAAGATCACCCTAGGGAAGCAAGGACGTGAAGAATTATCAGCCAACAGTAAAATAGTATTTAAATAGCTCAACACCCACCTTAGTTTGACTGTACAATTGTCAGATTCTAATTATGTTCCTATTTATCAAAAAAGACACTTGATAATAAAGCTTTCTTGTTTTTTCAGTCTTTGTTGGGACTCTTTTTAATTTAAATAGAAATGACGACTACTTTAAAAGATAATGAGAAAGCTGTAACTCTGATAAGACCCACTCCGAATTCCACAAAGGGAAATGTGAAAGTTGACAAAAGAAAGAGTTCATGCCTGTAGAACCGATAACTTAAAGTGGCACAACAAAATTGCAAAGCACACAAGAAAGAAGGAAGTTTTAAAAAGTATTTACCATCTTGTCCTGAGCTCTGTAGGTATTCCGTCAGATCACATCCAAAAGCACTCACACTCCCTTTCCTTTTGGATTTCTGCTTTGCCGCCTTGTTCTTCATTAGGGAACCCTGAAATCTCCAGATAGTAACACTTCAGTTCAAAATGACTTGAGCCCCAAATCCACAACCATTGGTCTCCACAATGTCCTCGGGGGGCTGGCACAGAGGAAGATCGCTGAACAAACTACACTCCGCACTAAGATCAGAAAACCCACTTCATCTCCAGAGGGAGAACGAGATTTTACATCCTGACAGAAACATGCTACAGCCAAGAGGAGTGAGAGGAGTTTAAAGAAGCCTGGGTGAAGTATCCTGACATGGTTGTTGTCAGTGCCTCCTTATTTTCTTCTGTCCTCTGGTCTTTGCAGGTGTGTAAACCAGCGGTAGTTGACAGACCGTCCCGTCACTCTCTGGAGCTCTCTGCTGTGCGGTTGTGAACTTCGCGATCCCAGAAAGATTTATGTCCGTCTCTTTGCTAAAGCAGCAGCAGAACGTGTTTGTTTCCTGTTCTTTTTTCACTCGCTCTGCCTTTCCTTTTTCTCTGCCCCCCGTCCTCCTCTCTTCGGCATCTCCCTGGTCTCCAGGCTTGTGCCTCAGGAAATGTGGGAAGTGAGGCTAGGAGATGGGATTTTTTTTTTGTCCTTCTTGTTGTTGTTTCCACGGCGAGCCAGTCCTGTCGGAGGGCAGCTGGCTGTGGTGGCACGAGCTGGCTGGTGGTGAGGTCTGAGATGTCAGGACTGTGAAGGGGAGGAAAAACAGGGGAGGGGTGGCTGGTTGCTGTTACTCTCTCTGGTATGGAGATAACTGGCCCTGCTTTTTCTTAGCAGTGGCCCTGACAGGAAATCTGCTCTCAGCCTACCCCAGTGCTCCCGAAGTACACAATTTCCTCCGCTACAAAGAGCCTTGTTTCAGAGAGGACTGGGCCGATTGGAGAAAACCAGGGAGGAGACTTGTGAAGGGTGGGGGAGTTAGGAGGGGGGAAAAATTAAAACGTATGGTTCTTGTTAACTTTTTTTCTCGCTGACTTTTTTTTTTTCTGTTCAGCAAGGCAGGCTGACCAGAGATTCAAGGTTACTTAGACTCTCCCTAAAGAGCTAAAACTTTTCCTGGCATTTTTTTTTTTTACATCCAGGGATTAGGCAGGCGACAAAGAAATCTTTCCTGTTGTATTTACACAAACTATTCTGTGAGCTGATTTGAGTGAGACAATAAGGCTTTGTTGAAGTTGATGCATGAAAAGGAACTCACACGCATGTACACATGTTGCCACCTCTTACACCTACAGTAGGTGTTCTACAGTGTCATGTACACAGCCAAACTGATTCAGTTAGACTGGATCACATGAGTGTCCCACTGCTGACATTAATCGTGTTTTAATCATTTTTTTTGCTTATATCAGGGTGTCTGAAGAGAACTTCCTTGCTTTATTTTTCAGTTCTGGGAGACCCTTTTTCCTGATGGACCAGTCCGTCCCTACATTGTTTCCAGCTTTACTGCGTTGCCTTCATTCGTTCATCAGCACACAGTGAAATGCCAGGCTGATTTACACCCATTTGCTGCCTCGCAGACATTAGAGACATTCGAGGGTCACTCAGGGAAAGCACTCATTTTGATGTTACTCTTACGTTTAGGAATACGTTCGAGAGCAGGAAGAACTTTGTTCTTCACATGGGTGCTGGTATGGTGACGACATGTGCCGCAGTGCCCAGCTGCTGTTCTTCCAGACCAAAGTCCTGTTTGCCAGGCAGTCTGACTGCTCTGTCATGGCTTCTCTCTGATTAGCCACCCCCAAGATGCACTGGAGAAAATCTTTCAAGTTGCGAGATTTGAACAAAGGAAAAAAGAAGCCTTCCCACTCTGACCTCTGTGATAGGAAAATAATTTAAAACAGCCTCGTTTCTGTTCTCCCAGAGAAGTTCAAGAGGAGGTCCTGGTTTCTTAGAAGTGCACAATGCTTTGCTCCTCTAGTTCCAACAGGAATTTAACATCTATATATCAGAAAGATCAGAATATGCCCAGCTGTTGCTTTCTGAAGCATTATATTGTGTTGAGCAATTTATGGGCCTTATCTAGAAACCTGAAGGAAATTTACTTTGAACAGTGGAATTTGATTTGTGTAGCTTGGTTTCCATCATCGGAATTGCAAACTAGTTTGCTTGTCTTCATGTAAGACTGTCATTTCATGAGGATCAGCATTGTAAATATGCTACATGTGCTACACGATAAAGACAATCGGTGCTGCATTCCTGTACACTTCCTTGATTCTCTCACTGTTACTGCTGAAGGGCACTGTGATATCCCAGGTGCTGGCTGGGAAAGGCAGCAATTTCTGACAAGTCTTGCTTTTGTTTCTTAAAGGCCATCAGATTAGTACTGAAGCAGTATGCATGTTCAATGGTTCAGTCACTTTCTTGAAAAAAAGCGCTATATGCCACACATTTTTGTGTTCTTGATGCTTTCATTAAAATCCCATACAGCTGCATTCCACTGAAGTAACTGTCATGTGTAAAGATAAGACTGCATGAACATGCCAAGATAATTCCAGTAATCCCCAGTTTTTCCTCAGTCGAATAGTCAGATTAGCTTGTTGGTAGAAAACAAACAACATAAAAAACAGATTTTTTGACTATTAAAACATGGTGTATCAGTAAATGTTACAACCTGGGAATTAAATATTTTTTTCTTAATCTAGAATATTGTAAAGAGGAAATACAGGAACACTTTTGCTGTTGTTTTGGGGGTATCAGAAGCTTACAAATCAGAACGGATTTCATGAAACAGGGTTTTGAATAAACCTTCTTGCTCAGATCATTTTTTTTCTCTCTGAACTGTATACTCATGTGCCAAGTAAAC